GCACTTAGCTTAGTAAGAAAACAATTCCTCAGCACAACCCACAGAACCAAAACTGACAACAAACAAGCAGCAGAATTCAGAAATATATTATCCTGTTATATTTGAATGATAATATGAATGTGGTGGGATTGCCTCTAATATAAATAACAAAATATGATGTTTGTCCATGTCCTGTATTTAAAATAAACACTTTATTAATGTTAGGGGTGCTATGTCATCGTGGTTACAATAATAACCACGTGGTTAAAGTTAGGCAGTGGTGGAAAGTAACAGAAAGTATGTTTATTCAGTACTAGATAATTTCCTATGTATGTAACTTTCCACTTCTAACTTCACTCTGTAAAAAAATTGGTTTAGTGGACTATTAAGTTATGTTACAAGTCGCGGTGGATATTTTACGCCCTACTTCCAATCCACTGCATCTAAGAAGGAAATATACAACTTTTTACTCCACTACATTTATTGGACAGCTTTTAGTTAGTTACTTTTCAGATTAAGATTATACATGAAAGATATCATATTTTGCAAGAAAAATACGATGAGCTTATAAAACACATCAAATTGTTTCAGATGTCTCTGAAGAAAAATTATCCAGTAATTCAAGAAGCAAAGCAAACATTTTCCAGTCCAAAAAACTAAACACAACTTTGTGTAGTGGAACTTAATTTCCTCTTCTTTCCTCTCCCATTAATCATCTCACGACCCCTCAGATTTATCTGAAGACCCTTTGGAGGGGCCTGACCCCTACGTTGAGAACCACTGGACCACACTACATATAAACTAGTTAAAACTAGCTTAAGTGTTTAAGACTGTGCCATGAAATGTTCCGAAGTGTCAGCCATGTTGGTGACGTATATTGTGCGAGACAAGAGATGTAGTTCATTGAGCAGTTTCACGCAAAACTAAATTTAACTTTTACTGTTTTACAACAAACTGCGACTCTGGTGACTTGCAAAATTATCTTTAAAACTGACAAACACCATGCGTGTAATTCAAAGCACAATTAAAACAGGAAAAGAAAGTGAGTTCTCTCGCCCCTAATAACCGTACACATTTAAAAAAAAATAAGGTCTCATGGGGCTGAAGCAGAAGGGAGGGACTTTAAAGTAGGCCTAGTTAAAATGAGTTGACTGTATTCAAACTAGCTAACTGTAAATATAGTGGTTAAAACTAGCTGACCGACTTCAAACAGGATATCCAACGAAGGTTAAAGTCAAGGGCAACTGGACTTGGTTGAAGATACTGGAAGACGTTTCGTCCCTCATCCAAAGGACTTCTTCAGTTCTGACTGACTGGCAGGGAAACTCAGCTACTTAACCTCAGTGGGGTCGTTATCCCGAGTCATCGATACCGCTGGTTCGTTAGTGTTCCTTGTTGCTGTGACGACAGTCGTTACAGTCGTTGAGACTACCTGTGGCCAAGACTGAACGACCATCGTTGGTATCTTCACCTGAGGCCAATAGGTTACGTTTGTTCAGTTTCCTGGGAAGGGATGAATTGGGGTTGGGGTTTGGTTTGGGCTTGGAAGTCCTTTGGATGAGGGACAAAACGTCTTCCAGTATCTTCAACCAAGTCCAGTTGCCCTTGACTTTAACCTTCGTTGGATAACTATGACCTGGATGACTGAGATTCTTCATAGACTTCAAACAGGATCTAAACATTAGTTTATAAATGGTCTTGAAGAAATTTTCTTTCACTTTGTGAGGTGATGTTGATGATGTCTGCTGGCAAAATGTTATTTACGTAAATCTCCTCCTGTTTTTGAAGTATTTAAAAAATAATTTTATTTAAGTAATCCTGTCACACATTTGAGACCGTTTTATAAGACAACCCATAACTTATTTATTTTTACTTTACTTCCTATTTTTTTTCCAATTGCTTGTTTTTATCAGTAAATGTGGCCGTCATGTTCTCAGATGTGGATACTGAATGTTTGTGTTGATTAAAACTTGCTATTTATTTCATGACTGACAGAAAAAATAATATTTTTCCAAGTCATTTTTATAATCGAGTAAAAGTTTTGGAATTTTTCAACTAAAATACCAAACCTGTTGTAGTTCCAGATTCTCCATTGTGAAGATTTGCTGCTTTTCTTTGACTTCAGTGAAAGTGAATTGAATCTCTATGTTTTGGACCATTGGTCGCCCAAAACGAGACATTTGAAGATGTCACCTTGGACTTTATAACATCATGTGCATATTTTTTAGACCATGATCAATCAAAAGAGAAAATTTGATGTTCTGCATCAGCAGCTCTGTTCGAATGAGGGAAGGCCTGAGAAAGTGGTTTCCCCAGTCTGTGGCGCCCCCTGGCAGTTAGTCTTCAACAGACACCAGAAGGTGGTCGTGCGACATCATGGCTGTTTGATTGAGGTTTTTAGCTGAAAATAAATCTACAACTTCTACAAAGACTCATAGCTGAGAAATACTGATGTGATGGGCAGAACTCCACCTGCCAAAGAAACGTTTTACAAGACATTCAAAGTAAATGTTTATTATTTAATACAAAAATTGTTAAATCATAACTTTTGTCTTATCTCACTAAATTGATTGTCTAAATGTTGTTTCGCAGCTCTTTCTCTGTGCTGCCAGGTCGTGTATGTTTATGTATATTTTGAATTTTATTTTGCAACTCTGTGTTGTTGTCGTTCTTCGTAGCGAATGTTGAGTTGGTTTGTATGTTGGTGTGTCTGTGGCCGATCAGCAGGTAGCACAGGTCGTCCACTGATCTCAGGGTGGAGGGTTTGGTTCCTTCCTGCTCCTGTCCACAGAGTGTCCTTGGGCAACAAACTGAATCCCAAAACTGCTCCTGATGGTCAGATCAACACCTAGATAGTAGATCACTGTGTGTGTGTCTCTGCCTGTATGTCATCTAGTTAAGGTTTGTTCAGTTTGCTGTATTTTGTAGTTCATATTATCTTTATAATTAATTTTAATTCATCAGTTGTTTGGTCCATAAAATCTCAGAAAATGGTGAAAAATGTCGATCAGTGTTTCCCAAAGACCAAGAGGACGCCTTGTTTTGTCCACACCCCAAAGATATTTAGTCTGCTGTCACAGAGGAGGAAAGAAACCCGAAAATATTCACATTTAAGAAGCTGTAATCAGAGAATAATACTTCTTTTACTAGCATTACTGTTACATGGTTATGCTGGAATTATAACACGGTGTCAAACACCTGGCATTGTTATTTTGCACGAGAGGTGAAAATGAATTTTATTCTACAGACTTAAGAAAACGTCTTTGTTTGGTACAGGTCCCAGCAGAAATCACATCTGAATATGTTTTTCAATGAAAATGTGAATAATGAAGTGAAAATGACCATTCCCTTAAATATTGCAAATCATATTTCAATAGCAATATAAGTCAAAATAATCACAATTACATATTTTTTCAAAATTGTTAAGCCCAAATTCATTTTTACTTTGTCTTTACAGTGTTTTTTTTTCTTTTTATATAAAAACCCACTTTTGCAATCTAAAAATAAGCTTAAGCGTTAATGCTGAGACGACTCAATGTCTGCTGCAGATCCAGGTGGTCTTGGTATGTTTGCTCAGTGAAGACAACACTTCACTGCATAAACGAACCATATTAAAAAACTTTTGCTTCAGTCTTTCAATTTTTAGATTTCAAGTTATTTTGCAACTCTTAATAACATACTTTCATAAAATATACAAAACAATATTGAATATATAAACATTAGTTGTCTAGTTTTTACCAAATCTGTCAGCTGCAGTTCGCATAAAGTTCATCTTTGTTAGCATTTTAAACTCATGTTCTGTTGATTAAAATGAGTAAATAAGATGTATTGGTGTTTGTTTTTTTTAAAGATGCTTCTTAACTCTAAATTCATGCATCTATAAGAGACGTGTGCATGTGACATTTTTTGCTAACTGTTGTAATTGCATTAGCTAATATTTTAACAATCTTTAACATCTTTCTGTCGCCAAGTCATTTTTCTCGCCCTTCAAGGCAGTTGGATCATCATAACTGTACACAGTGTTTCTGAGGTCTTACAGCAAAACATTTACAGTTTAAAAAAAAAAATCTTTCATCATTCTCACTTCGTGCGTTATTTTATCTGTGAATATATGGAGGTGGAAAAAAAGGTCCGTCACACATATGAGAGATATTTTGAATAAATCCATGAAAAAACAATATCTTGACAAACCATTGTGTAGATTTCTGGCTATTTGGTATATTTTCACAGTAAAACCCAAAAAATCTGTCTGACTCTTGTGTGCTTGCAAAATGGATTTGTGTGATATGCAAATCAGTGAATATATAATGAGGAAAATACTTCATTTGCATATTAGAATAAAAAACTAATTGTATTTCAAAAAAGCTCATAATTATGTATTCTTTAAACTTGTAAAGTTTCATCCTGATATGAGTAAAGTTGGGGAAAAGTAGGGATGGACAATGAAACAATAATTATCGCGATATAGTTTTTTTCAAAAACAATATAACAAATGTTCAATATATATTCAATAAATGTTTTATTTTATTCATTTGAATCACACACAAATTAGGACTTATTTTTTATTAAGATGCTTATTTTGTAAAAAGTAACTGAAAAGTTCTTACTTAATTTTACTCAGTTTGTTGACAAAGATTTTATCATAATTGTTTTGAATGTTCTGCCTCAGATTAGTGAAGTGATCCACTGTTTAGCATCAAGTGTTAAAGAAGAGTTTAAACCCCAATTAACAATCAGGTTTCTGCAACTTTGCACTCAGGAGCAAAAATCAGCCTTTAAACTCAAATGAAACAACGATTTGATACTTATCCTGATAATTATAAGATACAAAACTTTTTATCCTGATAAAATTTTTGGCCGTATCGTCCAGCCCTAAGAAAAAGCCTGTTTGACTGTGGTGTCTCTCATTAAGTCCCGCAGAAGCGGCATAAATCATTTCTCTTGCATCAAATGAAAACTGGTGCCCTTTTTAAAAAATGCAACAAAAAAAGCTGAAGAAGCAATGATGACAAACACGCAGAGACAATTATAACAGAGCCTGTATATTTTTCTGCAAAATACAAATACTACCACATTTCTGAGTGAGGGATTTGCTGTACATGATCTCTGATTGTGACAACAGAGGTGCACTTTATTTTTCTTCTGAGAAACATTGTCTCCAAGTGGCGACAAAGGCCAGCTTATGCCGCTAACAATCTCGTAGAATATTTAACTTGTGGTTATTAGAAGCAATAGTGCATGAAAAGAGGGAGGGAACTGTAGCCCAAAGTGTACATTTACAGTACAGAGGACATTCACTGATGTCAAATAAAAGAATATCATCGGGGCGTTTGAGGTACAAGTAGATGACAGATTTGACAAAGTCCAGGCAGTTACATATTAAAGAATCAAATCAAACACACACATAAACAGGGTATTTCACACTTTGGTTAGTTTACACTCGACCTTCCACCACCTCCACCTGCACACGCTCGACTCCACCTGGAGCCTGAGGACGAGCTCCTGGCTCTCCTGTCCTTCAGCTCTGTTTTACCGACGGTGTCAGGCGTTGTGCAGGAAATCTGAGCTGGAAGCCGACCAACCCCAGAGACAACACGGTCATCATTAAAGAGTGTGGAAGAAAACACATCTGGGCTCTGCCCTTTTCCACAGACATCACTTTGTAGTTCCTGACTAAATGGCAGTGCCTTTTTTAAACTCGAGCAGCTACGGGGACTCAAATGAATTTAGCCGCTGGATTTAAAATGGGGCCCATACAGAGTGGGGGCTGTGGCTGAGGGTTTAAGCTCCAAATATACAGTTTTTAAAACAAAATATTCAAATGTGAACAACCCCCAGCCACCTCTCTGCCTCTTAAAAGAAAATAAAACCTGTGGGCATCAGTCAGAAGTCCTTCAGCTACTCTGTACATCCTCTTATTGTGGCGGGGTGTCAGACCCAGTTTTAGATACAAGGCACAAATGATTCAAAATGTCCACAATGCCCTTGTAGAGAGTTACAGCACAAATATACAGTGGTGGAAAGTAACTAAGTACATTTACTTAAGTCACATAATTAAGTACAACAATTTTAGGATACTTCTACTCCATTTGTCTGACAGCTGAAGATTAACCTCAAAAATCAGTTTAGTGTTGTGTCTCCAGTTGTTAGCAGAGACACTTCCCCTCTAAACTTCTCACATAGTTTCATTAAAATGTAATGTTTTGATTAATGATTTAAAGAATTGTTTTTAGTCCAAAGATGTAAAATCATCTAATGTTTTAGAGGAAAAAGGAGAAGCACAGATTAGCCACTGGACTAAACTAGTTAACCGTTAAAAGTAGCTGACAATGTTCATCAGTCACATCTTACTGCAGAACGAGTACTTTTACTTTTGATACTTTCAGTAAATTTTGCTGATAATACTTCTGTACTTTTACTGAAGTATACTTTTTGAATGACGGACTTGTAATGATATATTTGTTGTACTGGCACTTTTTTACTTAAGTAAATGATCGGAGTACTTCTTCCACCACTGTACATTTTAATAATCACCACAAAGTAGTTGCTTTGAAACTGTATCCTGGGAAAAAAAACTGCCGGTTTCCTTTGTGCTCTGTGAGATTGTCACTGTGACATAATGTTGGCTCTGACACCAGCTGAACTTTAAATGTGATTTCTTTTGTAAAACTTAACTTAAAACTGACTTAAAATCTCCCTGAATGTTTAATAGAAAATGACGTGCAGCTGTGCTTCCTGTCTTTTTATATTACTGTTATTAAATAGCGCTGCAGACATCCAACAATATGGATTTGATATAATAAGGAATAAATTTTCTCTAAAAACACAACACTATCAACTTTGTGCAGCAAAGCATCGTTGTCCTGTTGGATATGGCTTTTATGAAGTGCAATCCTCACTCTGCTAAATCCTGCAAAGCTATTATTAGCACATGCTAGCTCTCTCTGTGCGTAACAAGGCCATGAGCGACGTTTGGATGTGACTTCTCTCTTTTATTTGTTAACCACAGATGCTTTGTTTCTTTTACAGGAAAATAACTCATGTTATGTTGTAAAGGCCATAATTTATTTTTTAAATAACTGAATTGTGAAATGCAACCACTACTAAATACTTGACATTGAAATATTCAAATTTAAAGCAATCTGTTTCAATTCATGTGTTTAGATTTCCCCTCTCTGACATTTTCAGAACGTTATTTCAGGTTTTGTAAATTTCCAAATGAGATTTTTATTTTAGCAGGTTCGCACGATCAGTAAGTTGTGGTAAGTGTCCAGAGCTGAATTTCTCTTTCTCTGAACATGTGACTGAACACAACAAACCTGACCGTAGCACATTATGAGTTTGGATTAAGCATTTAACGTGAATCCAACTTAAGCAATTTATTTTTAATGGACGTTAAATTTTATGAAATAAAAACTGAATATTGGACATTTGAATTTTCAAGAATCTGAAGATTTCAACCTTTTAAAAAACAAAATCAAAAATGTGTTTTTTAAAGTTGCACAACTCGGGGGGGGGGGGGGTTCTTAATATCTTAAAAAACATCTTAGAGACATTAACTTCCCTTATTTTTGATTTGTAGTTTTCAGTTATTTATAATGAATTTAATCCTGTTTATTTGTTTTTACAGGACGTCTTTGTTTAAACTTTCAACTTCCCACTTGCCTTTGATTATATTTAACTCATGTTTGAGTATTTGTGTATGTATGTGAATGTCTCTATGTCACATATTTTATAGTGGTTGTAAAAGAAAAGTATTCAGTAGTGGTTAATGTTTAGTTTTCAGATATTCAGAAATTTATAAGATAAGAAGATACTTTTACACATCTGGATTGCATTCGCTGAAAGTCACTTTTGCTAACACAACTCTGAAAATGATTCACTAACTCTTATAAATGTCTTCACATCAAGTGAAATCTGAAATCTTTTCTATGCAACCTGTTGCAAATAACTTCTTCACTCAAACTAAAACTTCCCCCGTCACCATTTCTCTCACCAGAGCTACATTTCTCCATCTTTCTCTTCCTGTACGCGCTCTCTCTCTTTCTACCTCCTTTTTATTTGCCACACTTTACCTTCCATACATTCATATATAAATGTGTTTTATATGTTTTACTGTGCGAATATGTTGAACCTGCAACACGGCGTGTGCAGCGGCGGACTGAGCGGCCCACCTCCAGCACGCCTGCTCTCATGGCTCCAATGATCCACGTTATTAAACTCACCAGTAGCTTCACTGTTCAGAGTACCAGACGTCTTCACTTTTTAAACTTTTTGTTAGTTGCACACATTCATGAATGTGTGCATGTAACTTACTTATTACCCCCCACCCACCCCGGAAACACACACACTCAAAACAAGCAACACATGTACACCGACAAACTGTCAGCACATGTTCGCCTCAGATGACATCCTGGACAGCAATTTATCAAACTGCTAGAAGTGACGTTTTTGGACGCAGCAGAGCTGAATAACTAAAACCAAAACACTCATGAAGAGTAATAAGCTGTGTGTATAATCCAGACTTGGGCAGTTTTAGCCTTCAGTACTGTTTGGAATGTGGTTTAAACATTTGATACTGTTACACCACTTTTTCTTTCTTTTTCATTCGTGCAAACAAGAATATAGACGGCAGTGATTTTGTCTGCAATCCTTTTCCATAAATCTTCACTGTGAATGTGATACTAAGTTCTCCTTATTGTGTGATATCTCTGATGCATCAGCAGAAGAAGTTACTTTTGTTTCCATTTCAGCCAATTTCTTGTAATTTTAATCATTTAATGCCTATTGCATATTATAAATATATAAGATTTATGTTTTTTTGACAAGTGAATTGCTACTGGAGAAAGTACATGAACTTTAAAAGACATATTTTTGCAGATTTGTGTTAAAGAATGAGCTGCAAAGTAGGTACACTGCCTGGACAAAAGTACGGGGACAGCTACACATTACTTTTATGACATCCTGTTCTAAATCTAAGGGCACACATATGGAGTTGTTGAGCTATAACAGCTTCCACTCTTCTGGGAAGGCTTTCTACAAGTTTGTATTTGGGAATTTTTTCCCGTTCATCCAGAAGAGCATTTGTGAGGTCAGACACTGATGTTGGAAGAGAGGGACCGGCTCACAGTCCCCGTTCTAGTTCATCCCAAAGGTGTTCGACAGGGTTGAGGTCAGGGCTCTGTTCTTCGACACCGAACTGGGAAAACCATTTCTTTATGGAGCTGGCTTTGTGCACGAGGGCATCATTTATATTTAAACAAGAAAAGTCCAAATACAAACTGTTTGAAGAACTATTTTCTAAAATTGTCTGTCTGCTGTAGTGTTAACATTTCCCTTAAAGTCCGCACCATGAAAAAACAGCCCCTCCCAAAAGTATTGGGACAGGGGTGTCCCAGTACTTTTGTCCGTATCGTGTAAGTTCCTTGTATCTGATCGGTTGTAACTCCTCTGAGAATGCAAGTGATTCAATACTGTCACTTTGCTGTGAGCAGAAGGAAGTCGCTTGATTAACTAACTTTTATATTCTTAGAAGTTTGATAAATTCGTATTGTCCCAGGAGTCTCTCCTCTAGATTAGAAAGTCTAGCTACAGTACATGTTGTAAATACAGCAGAACATCACTGTATCCATATAAAATAGGTTGACAGCGTCTGAATCTGCCCCCCCCCCTTACATTACACATTTAGCACACCCACTCAGTACAAGAAGAATATGATGATGATAATAATAATAATAATACTATAAGGTAACTTTACTAACATCCCCTCCCCTCTGGCTGTAGACCAGCTCCCATCATGTCGCCCATCCCTCCGATAGCCTCATCCGTTTTACTGACGGGCTGTGGTGCTCCTCCTGGCTGGACAGAGGTCGGAGGAGGAAGCTGTCATTGCCATGGTGATCCTCGCGCTCCTCGCTGCCTTCGTACGAGCTCCCGCAGCTGGACGCGCTGTCGCCGGGGGAGTGCCCCGATTCGTTGTGGCCCCGGACGGCGTTGGAGTAGACTGCCGTGGTCATGCCCCCTCCGAGTCCCGTGCAGAGCATGCCGACGCTCCGGTTCCTGGGAGGGGAGGCCGGCTCGGACTTGATGTGGAGCTGCTGATGACCGGAGGGGAGGTTTAGGTTTGAAGTCTGACACAAGTTCCTGGAAAATGCAGACAAGAAAATCTCAGAGTTGCTATACTTCCCTGTCGACACAACTGATCTCGCACCAGGTGAACGATTAATGAAAGATGGGTTTCTGTTCTTTCTCGTTAACATTTACTTATTTAGCTGAAGCATTTTATTCAAAGCGACTTACAATTGCTATATATGTCACACGAGGTCGCACGTCTCTGGAGCAACTAGGGGTTAAGTGTCTTGCTCAGGGACACATTGGTGGATGTGTTGCAGTGGGAATCGACCCCGGGTCTCTCACACCGAGAGGTGTCTTATCCACTGCTCCATCACAACCCCTCGTCTCCCACGGACTCGTCTCCAAGGTGCCCCGACTACAAGTGCATCGGGTTTTTGGCAACTAGGGCTGTGCCCGACTAAGGATTTACATAGTCGACTTGAACTGGGAAGTCAGAATTTCAGACAATTTCTACTGAAACGCTCCCTGAAGTCAGAACTTCAGACTGATATTTTATTATGAACTAGTATTGCAAACAGTGGCTAAAGGCATCAGGTGCGACAGCGTCCGACTTCTGAGGTAAATGGCACGTTTCTTCTAAGAAATGTGTCGGGGAGGTGCAGCCCAAGAGCCGGACAGGCGACGATATCCGTCACACACAGATGCTTACCCCATGTGTCCGAGCGCTGAGTGCTGCAGATTCTGTATCTGCTGTTGCTGCCAGTTTGTTACGGATCCGAGACCAGAACCGCCAAACCCAGACAGAGAGGACAGGTCGCTGCCGAGGGAGAACTCTGAGGGGGGGAAACACACGCACAGAAAACCCTCCTTGTTAAATCAGATCCTACATGATGTGCCCCTCTAGTCTGTTGCAGCGTCGCTCTGTTGTACCTGTGCCATAAGAAGAGGAGAGTGTGGACGGATACCCGCCCATCCCCTGTCCAGGTAGAGTCTGAGCAGCGATGGACACAGCAGGAGTGGACAGCGTCTGAGCGGTCTGAGAGTGATTTATTCTCTGGTTCTGAAAAGAAAAGAGAAATCTATAAGACCTAAAGCAGCGACGCATTCAACCGAAACACAAGGAGCTGACTCAAGGAGAGTTAGAAATGTTTCTGTTCAGGCCAGCTGCTGTTTCTCAGTTTAAACTGATACCGTGTTCTGCTCCAGCTCTGTCCTGTGATTGGTTGAAAGACATTCCTATTTTTATAATCACAGTGAAGTATTGGGTCACTCTGCTCAGTTTACATGAACTAAATTCCCAACATTTGTGCAGCTCTACAAACAGGTCGTTCAGTATATAGAATTAAAAATTGCGGCGGGTCGGGTAAATATTGCATAACGGCACATCAAAAGGCGTAACGTTGGATCCTACAGAGTCGACAATATGAAAATACTCTGCATAAAACACATCCATCACATCCACACCATGTCAGTCGAACAACGGCAAAACCACATCTACTGGACAGAAATATAGACATTTCTGAACGTGTCGACATATTTATCATTGTTATGTATTGATTGTCTATAGTGTGTTTATTATTTATACTAGAGCCCGACCGATATGGTTTTTGGGGGCCGACGCCGATATTAAAGTGAAAAGGAGCCGATTTATTAACCGATATTTCGATTTGGATAGTAGACCCCTTTACTGTATAAACTACATTTAGAACAGGACAATATTTAAAGCTGGTATGTATGTGGGCTATAAAACCTTTTCCTAAATGATTTATGTTAATAAAATGAATTACAGTCTCAAAAAGTGAACACGTAAACAGTTGCACATCAATAAGTATTTGCTGCTGGAAGGTGCAACTTTTTCATTGAGAGAGAATAAGCATGTATATTTTACTTCACATAATCTGCCATAATTTCAATTCACATCTAGTTTATCCCTTTACCAGCACTCTTTAAATCTACCAAAGCCATTTAACCACCATTCTGTCTAAATCATGCCGTCTACGTTACAGTGACCTGCTGTTGAATGCATCTAATATTTAATGACCGTCTACAACGAGGACTTGCAGCTTTGAGATTTCATTTAACTAACGTTATAAATATAACTAGCGCTGCTCTGACTACAGAGTTTCACATCTACAACGTCACAAAAATAGGAGCGACAGAAAGCCGTGTTGTTTTCTTGTTCTGCTCACGTTTATTTACATGTCCACTCTGGTTTAGTCATTTCAGACACGCCGCCTATAACTGCAGACAAGCGGCTGGCAGATATATTTAGAATAAGTCAGAAACTATAGTTTAGCGGCTCAACGTTAGCACTCCTAACGCTCTGAAGTGATTGTGTCTGTTTTTATTATAATTATATAAGTCATGTAATAAACGTGACAAAAGACCGACTCGCTGATTGTTTTCTTCTGTGGTTTTCGTGGTGAGGCAGTGTAGTTAACAGCTGCAGCTGGTCGCCCTCTGGTGGGCAAACTATGCAACACCCATGACATGAGTGAAGGATCTGAATCTGTTTCTTTTTTAATAGTCACATATCTGCTGTTATAAACGGCCAATGCCGATTAAATGCAATTAGCTCATATCGGCCGGCCGATATGTCGGTCGGGCTCTAATGTCTACGAAGTATGTTTACTAATTCTACTTTCATGGTATTTTTGTTCTTTACATTCCTCTGTGACGGTGTACCAACATGAATTTCTTTCTTGGGGGATTAATAAAGGTAAATCTCATCTTAAAGCATGTTAGTCAGCCCAGCAATACCAACAGGCCTGAACCACTGCCCTAAAATAATGTTAACAATGTTGGGTAAAGATAATAAATCAACCTTATCTTTGTGACATGTTAAGTTAATCTGCCTTGTTATTTTTTTAACGTTACAGAAACAAGATGTCACAAACTGAATTCAACAGTCTGTCATGTTCCCAGGAAGAGAACTGAAAACTTGGACAAGAAGAAACTGTGTCATGAAATTATTAAAGTTACTGATGCATGTCTTTGGGTGATTTTAGGATAGTTTTTATGTTTTGGACAATGCACACTTGTTTCTTCTATATTTAAAAATTGCACTGCATGTTGTCTTATTGTGCAAATAAAGCTTAGTCAAAACACTTTCATTGTTGCAAGCTATTTTTCAGAATATATTTAACAAATTATTCTTCACAAAATTAGTCATTTAAAAAAAAAAGTGGTGTGGAAATAACTGGTCCCCAGCGTAAACGCCACCTGTGGTAACAGCAGAGGTCGGAGCTGCTGCAGTGGATTAACCTCAACAGATAAATGTTGAAAGAGAGTGAAGCGACAAGACGTTGACGCCTCAAAGATGCAAAATGACAACTCAAACCAACAAGGGACTATTTGTGAGATCAAGGATCACAAGTAATTTATGAAAACCTGCCTTTGTTTGGGTCAATGTGAAATTAAATGATGCAACAAAATCAGAACACCAGGCTAAGCGCTTTTAGATACACTCTTTGTTATAAAACCTATTCTCATACGATATCTGACAGTGTGTTTTTCTCCCTGTTATGGTGTAATTTAAGAGATTTACTTACCAACATCAGATCAAAATCCTCACACTGGAGTGCAGCATTGAAGCAAAGACTAAAATTAGTCTCCGTGCATAATAATGGACATTTCAGGGAAATAAAAACAATGAACTGATGGAGGAATAAAGGTGAAAGCACTCACAATGGTCGGCATGTTGTTGCACTTGTTGGAGGGGGGCATCAGAGTGCGGAGGTCCGGCTTACGGCTCATGCTCATTGGAGGAGGACTCTTATCCTGCATGTTTTTGGAAACGCCTCCTGGAGACAGCAGCCCGGGGGAGGTGCAGTGGTTACTGTAGCTGCTGTTTCCTGCTGACAAACACAGGCTTTCATTATGATCCACCACAGATCCACGTCTGGACCTCTGGGCCAACTGGACGAGGGGAACTTCATGTGGAAGGTGAGCCGTTTTATTGAGGATCCATTGTGATCAACAGTGTTATCTGTTATAGGATTTAATTTGATCCATTTATCTATTTTATTTATTTATTTACTGCTGTTATTTTATGAGTCTTATGTGCTTCTGTATCTTGTGTTGATTATTCTCTTCATATTAAGCCAACTCATTATAATCTGCACCTTAATGTGCAATATTCTCTGTTTCAATACTCAACTAATGTGTGATACTCTGTTTACTCTGCAATTTTTAAGGACTTTTAATCAATTCCACCTTGTTATCTGTTCTAAGATTTAATTTTATCCATTTATTTTTAATTTTTCAATCTATCTGGTCTATTTATAAATCTTTTTTTTAAGCCTTTTGTTCTTGTGTGTCTTGTTGATTTTTCTCTTCATATTTTAGCTAAATCGTGTGCGTTACACTTTTGTCACATGCAGTAAAATATTGTTCATATCTTGATACTGCTATTTATATTTACCTTATGTTCAACTTAACCAACCTTCTATTATTATGTATATTCCTTTAATGCCTTGATGTGCAAAGTGAGCACCTGTAACACGCCCTCGGGGAAGTCTCATGTTTTCAGCACTGCAACTAACGATCGCTTTCATTATCCACTGATTATCTCAATCAATCGTTTGGTCGATAGAATGCCAGAAAACTGTGACAGATAATAATTTCCTAAAGCCCACGGCGACGTCTTAAAATTACTCTTGTTACTCAGACTCAAAGATATTCAGTGCACTGTCAAATCAGACAAAGAAAAATCTGTAAAATTCTCACAATGTAGAAGCTAAAACTAGCATTAAAAAATTACTTAATCGATCATCAAAGTAGTTGCACAACAGTTTTCTGTCGAGTGACTAATCATTTTTGGCTCTACTGATGTGAATCAGCGTTTAATTGAATCACTTCTTACTGGCTAGAAAAGCTGGTCAAGATGCAGCGAATCACAGACATTTATAATGAACGAATGATCAGTAATCGACTCTTTATTGATCAGCCATCAGCCTGATCACATGTTTAAAATGCCATTTGAAGAGTCCTATTACTATTACAAATTCTTCAGACATAGTAGCTCAGTCAATGCATGTTTGTAAACATTTCAATAATAATGTGTTTTTATCCATACTCATGGACTCTGTGCTCTGTGCTCCCCTGCACCTTTTGGTAAAAGCCGCTTCTTTTCATTACATATGTATAATAATAATAAAGTTCTCCTCCTCCCAGTCTTCCCCCAAATGACAACATGTTTAACTGTAACGGTCTGATCTACTGGCTGGAAGAATATAAATGAACTGCAGTCGTACCCACGCTGGAGACCACGGTGCTCGTCAGCTCTGAACCCATCAGTCCTGCAGAGACAAAACGAACACGTTCAGACACTGAAGACGACGCTGGGATTGATTATAGAGTTGAGATCATGTTCATAAACACAGACCTGCATTCCCAGCGCTGGAGGGCCTCTGAGGGGACATGCTGTTCCTCTGCAGGTGTGTGTGAGAGATGGGCAGCAGGTTGTGGTTACCCTGCCCGCAGCCGATGCTGGGGTGGGAGTACAGCAGTCCGCTGTGATTACCGCCTGGGATGGACACTCCCATATCGTAGTTGGAGGGCGGCAGACCCTGCTGGACAATCCAGGAGAACTCAAGTCAGTCAGCTGGTCAACATCACTGAGAAGATCGTGAAACTGCTGGCCTGCACGTGAACTTACACAGACTCTCTGCCTGTTGATCATCAGGTCGATGTCCTCGTTTATTTTGCGGTACTTGTCGTCTGACTCTGGGCTCTGGCCGGCGGAGTCGTCGGCCTCGATGTCGGGGCTGTCGCAGCCGTTTAAACCCTTCTTACGCAGCGTCTGCTCGGATGGAAAACAAACACATCGGTGTTACTTTACTGAGTAAAACATCCAGGTGAATGCTCTTTTACTACTATACATGCACGTTTATAGGGTCAAGACATTATTGATTGGCTTTAGAGCAGAAACATGAAAAAAGAAAATTCTACTGCAACAGATTCGATCACCGAGTCGGTCAGTTTTGTTTTAAAGATGTGAAAAAACGTGAACGAATCCTTTAAACTAAAAAACAAGCAATATTTATTTAAACCACAAGAGGTCGCCGTCTGAGCAGCCATCTGTAAAACGACAGCATCACCATCATCGTCTGACGTCCACAGTCAGACAGCAGTGATAATTGATCCCAACACGTACAGTCAGACCTGCCGCACTCGTTTCAACAGACTTTGATAAGAAATATTTGGACTTTTATGTTTGTAGACAACACATTAAAGGAAGCGTGGACGTGTCAGACATGTTGGTGTGTCTCCAGCCAAAGCTTCATCTCAGTGTTGTGAAATCTCCTCTCTCATGCAAGTATCAGATGATGGTGAGTATGAGTACTGAGGGTGTGTACATTTACTTCCACTACACTACAGTTCAGGGGATAAGTTCAAGTATAGTACTTTTAACTGCAGAACATTTTTTGATAAGTTTAGTTACTCTGCAGACTCAGATGAATAATACAAGATGTAGTTAATGAGGTTATTGATCCTGGAGGAGGGAATTCAAAAGCTACCCACAAGCTTTTAGCGCCACCTTTAACAGCTGCAACATTAAAGTGATGAACACAGTAATTTTACTCCAGTAATATTATTATTCTGAAATAGGTCATTCTGCATGATAATTTACTTTAGTGGTTTTACAAAATTATAGGACATACATACATATCAGACCAATAAAGTGCACATCAGACATTGGAGAGAAAGAAAATAAATAGATAATAAAGCAACACAACAAACTACACCTACGTTACAACAGGAACAGAAACAAGGACGGGGGACAGACTGAGCAATATTTTATATTATCCTTTATACAAGGGTGCTTTTACTTTTGATATTTTGACTTAAGATTTTAAATGGATATGTTTACTTGAGTATTTCTACACTGGGATATTAGTAGTTTAAAGCAAAAAATCCAAGTACTTCTTCCACTGAGCTGTGTGTGCGTGTGTTGTACAGTGTGTGGTTTGGCTCTCAGCGTCCTGCTTCAGCACTTCACAGCCCATTAGTCCAGTCTGTCACTGGATCACTACAACACACACACACACACACACAGGGGCTCAGTGGTCGGCCCTGTGCAGCTATCCCACTCATCCCAGTCATGTCCACCTGTTTGGCTTTAGAGAGAAGGGAGGGTAGGGGGTCCGCCGGGTAAGGAGGGGGAGGCAGCTACCGCCAATACTAGCGTGGCTCCTGGAGTGATGGCCGTAGAAGGCTATTTTTTGCTCCTCCGTTGCGTTTCTCGTCACTCCCATCCCTCCCTCACAATCTGTCAGTCTGGCTCGTCTATTAAAACACAAAGCTGACTCCACTAGCCCACTTTCCCCTCTTCAAACACACACACACTGTATTCCATGCGTCCACTATACACCCACGCCTTCCTGTTTCAATAAAAGAAAATAGCTGGTCTGTGTAAACTACAAGCAGCCAGGAACAGAGCTGGAAGGAGATCTTTTCTTCAAACCGGCAATATTTAGCAATGTCGTTTTTTTTTTTGACCACTTGGGGGCAGCAGGAACGAGCTGTTCAGCTGCTAAATGCTCCACTGTGCTCACCAGCTCCTCTCGTAACCGTGTCTGCTGTTTGCAGGTCGTGCACGGTGGCTTTTTAATGCTTCTTCTCCAAAAACGACGCTGTGAGAGCGAACCAGTACACGAAAGATGTGGGCTGGACAGATAAACTATGAGCTGAAAGTCACTTTAAATAAATAAATAAATAATAAGTGTGATAATACTAGGTAAAAACCTACTACAGTTTCCCCAACCTTTTTTAAGGCATGTAACCCCTTTAAAATGAAGCAGTTTCTATGTATGAATACTGATTACGGAGTGCGTATGTCCATGAAAGAGTTCCCTCATTTTAATATTTCACAATAAAGCAAACATTCGGGGGGGAAAGTCTAAACACAAGTCTTCTTTTCTCTCCCATCAATCAGGTTGTGACCCCTCAGGTTCATAATGCCATGCACTGGAGAGTTGGGAACCGTTTGTGTAGACGATGAATACAGGCTTAGGGTTTAATTGTTTTAGAAATAATTGACTTTCTACAACTGGTCAGGAATGTGTGTGTCGGGGTGTGCGTTTGTGTGGTGGCAGGTGGTTTGAACAGCTTCCTGGAGATACTCGAGACTGGAAAGGGAGACAGCTGAGGAGGGAGTCAGGAGGGGGGGGGACAGAATGCCATAACATCATACCAGCCCTCCCAGAATCCATCCACACCTCCACCGTCGCTGCTTTTCCTTTCCATCGATTTAGTTTATTCATTTTTCAATTTCAGTTCCTTCCACTGGCCTCTTCATCGTGGGTGGTCTCCTCCTCTACTTCCACATCAGATGAAGCTGCGAGTAAATGTGTGCACCACTATGTGTGTGTAGTTGCTCTGATTGTGAACGTGTGCCAAAGAACATGACACGCAGCTTTTACACCATCCCACCACTACTACCGCTCCGGCAGCAGATGGAACTACATTCTCCTAATTCACTAACAAAAAGCGATGAATTGGAATTGATTAACTGGAAGTGCAGCAAGTAACATTGGTACCAAATTAAATGTCTCTTTCCAGGAAGGTTCCTATGAATTTTACAGTATGTATCAGATATGGTGAAATAAAGTGCAACAGAAAAGAGCTTTAGACACATTTAAGTTCCATCATCATTGTCTGTTATGAAAACTCTCCCTGTTGGTGTTTAAAGGGACAGTTGGACATTTTCAGCTGCTACATAACCACTTAACACAAAGCGTCGTCCACCTGTGACCCCTCGTCACTCGTGTATATCAGTAGACACTGTTTTATTCAGATGCGGCCTGAGGAAGTAAACCTATACAGTATTTCTCGGGAGAGAAGAGTTAGGTGGTGATGGAACAGTGTATAAGACACATGGTGTTCGATTCCTGTGTCCCTGACCAATATACACATGAAATGTAAGTTGCTTTGGATAAAAGCGTCAGCTAAATGAATAAATGTAAAAGATAAATGAAGAGTTTAAACCATCAGCACAAGTTTGTGCATCTGCATGTGGCTCCAGGGATGGACAAAGGCTGTGTTTGAAACAGGGTAAAAATGCTGCTTCAGAAGGTGTCTAACAGATCAGCGAACCATCGAGTGCAGTTCGAAACGGATCGAATGATCTTTTCCCATCTCGTAAGATGCCTTCAAACTGCCCCATAGCGGTCAGGTTCAAAGGCAGCATCTATGCTGCCTGTTACCCATAAATCTATTCGCCTGTGGTGAAAAGTTAGCCAGAACTAAAAACAACTATCTTATTAGGCCGTGACTGTAACTTACCAAGTTTTATTTAAAGGAGACCTATTAAACTGCTTTTCCAGCCCTATATTGTAGTTCTGTGACTCCTGTATGGCAGCTTTGCAGGATTCAAAGTTCAGAAAACGAATTTTCTATCTTCTTCTGCCTAGGGCTGCAACTAACAACTATTTTGATAGTCGATTAATCTATCGATTATTGAAACGAGTAATCGACTATCGATTATGAATTGCAAAATTACAGAATGCTTCTTATTTAGCTATCAGCTTTTAAATTAAACTTGAGGTTGTTTTAGGCATGTGCTAATTAACAGTCACGACAACAAAAATACATCTTTTAATGAACGTTTCTGATGCAGCAACAGAAAGTTCCACTGAAATCAAGTCCTGATCTGCTGTTTAGTGACGGAGCAGTTTAAAGGCCAGTACTGCAACACACCGGGACAAACTGCCACTATATACAGAAGATATCTAAGAAAGGAATAACGTCATGCATTACACATTTGCCGAATTTACAGGGGGGTCAATAATAATGATTTCGTAGTAGACAGCTTTTGAAGAGTGAAGTGCTGCCACACTCTGGAGGTTTTCGGTTGTGAAGGTGTTACTGCTGCGCTGATATTGTGTTGTTTTACTAAGTTTACTGTTCACATCACTTTACTCCGTTAAGTTGATGTTACGGCCCGATGACGTCACGAACAAATCGAAACATTCAATCACTTTTCGTTGACTACGTCAATTAGTTGTTGCACCCCTAATACTGACTCTTCATGTAGGCCTTCATTTCAGCCTCTGTCTGAAACAAGCTGTAGATGCTCCTGTGTCTTTAAGGCCCCCCCCTCAAAGCCCACTGTCTTCTGATTGGCCAAGACCTGAAGCATGTTAGCATGCTGGCTCTATGTAGAACAGAGTCATTGGTAGAAAAAGCAGTTCAAAACAGAGCGTTCAGAACAGGAGGAAATCTGAGGTTTTTGCTCACAGGGATTTCTTTTAAATACTTTAACCTCATTATTTGAAGCTTTGGCCATGTTTAACATGAACATCCAACATTATAACCTTGTAGATAAGTCATAAAATATGGAAAAGCATAATAGGTCTCCTTTAATATGATTTCTGAGGCTGACGCTAAGGCTAGTGACTGACATCCAGAAGAGAAGCAAGACGGCGTGCTGACGTCACACGTTGCTGTAAATGCGGCCCTAAAAGGCTGTTCGAAACCAATGTTCATAGAGATGCCTTCACTTGAAAGTCATGCCTTCTGAGGCAGCTGTCTATTACAGTAGCGAGACAGCGAGGCAACTGCCTTCTGTTTCAAACAGAGCCAGTGTCGGGTCCACCACTTTCGTCCAGACTGAAACATCTCAGCAGCTGTTGGATGGATTGCGATGAAATGTGCTTCAGACCTTCATGTTCCTTTCAGGATGAACTGTAATGACTTTGGTGATCCTCTGACTTTCCATCTAGTGCTGTTAATGTAGCCAACAATTTGGTTTAATACCAAATAACTGCAGAACAAATGACGTTCCCATCAGCCTCAGCT